AAAAACGCCTTACTATACATGGTCGTTTTTGGGGCGAACAATTCCTTACTCTGCATGGTCGTTTTTTTCGGCAGAAAACGCCTTTCTATACATGGTCGTTTTTTTTTCGGCTAAAAACGCCTTACTATAAATGGTCGTTTTTTTGGGCCAAAAAACGCCTTACTTTACATGGTCATTTTTTTGGGCAGAAAACGCCTTACTGGACATGGTCATTTTTAGCCCCATGTAGCGTAAGCCGTTTTTAGCCCAAAATATGACCATGTATAGTAAGGTGTTTTTAGCCCCAAAAAACGCCTTACTATGTACATGGTCGGTTGTATAGCGGTGGTTCTTAACCTTGTTCGAGGTACCGAACCTAACCTGTTCATATGCACATTCACCGAACCCTTCATTCGTCAAAAATAAATATGTGACTAAAAAAAGTGTTCCTTCAGTTTTGAGTTGCTCAACTTGGCATGATAAATCATGCAGATAGGACACTGAGTTCCATCACTAACTAACTAACTAACTAACTAACTAAATAAATAAATAAATAACACGGCAGTCACAGGTTGACGACTGAGCGAACTAAATTTCCCGTACCACTCAGTGGACAAGCCGTGTAATGTGATCATCTGCAGTGGGCGTGTCAGAACTAATTGACATGTTGAGTCGGGTGTGTCTTAACCTCCATGGCAGAAGCTCTGTCGAACCCCTGAGACCAATTCACCAAACCCCTGGGGTTCGATCGAACCCAGGTTGAGAACCACTGGACTATCGTCTTTTCTTTTGAAGAGGGGGAATGAATCCAGACTCAGTTTTCGAAAAAAATAAATTTTAGAGCAAAGTCCTAAAGGTGAGTGTTTACGTACTCAGCACATTTTGCTCTCTGAGATGTTCCAAGACGGGCTCCACACTCTTGAGCCGCTGGACTAGAGCCGCCTGGTGTCGCTTGACAAACGTGAAACCGTCTGGAAGAACAGCACAAAGGTCCATTGATGTTACTTTCAATGGATAGGACGAAAAACGGCGTTCCGAGAGCGGCGTACCCGATGCCATGGCCTCAGCCATCATCTCGCGCTCCTCCTCCCTCTTCTGCTCCTCTGCACTGAGCAGGTCCGAGACCAGTTCCTGGACGGTGCGGTAGTTCTCGCCACTGCTGAGGATCTTGCTCTGCACCGTCTGCTTGACCAGGCCGCGCTCGAAACCCATCTCCAGGGCCGACTTGATGACGGGCGTGTTCATCATCACCGCGTCCTCGCAGCGCTCATCGCCCGGGCCCAGGTGCACCACTGGGGAACGCATAGACCAAAAAAAGCAAAACGTATTGGGTTCAATGTGTTTATATTTAAACCGTGCGTGTCAACAGCAAATATACTTTTTTCAGAATTAAAAACAATTTTCAAAAACAGTTCAAAGTCACCTGGTGGATCCACAAACTCCCTGGAGCTGCTGTCTCCATTTGTCAAAAGCTTTTGGGAAACAAAACGCAGAGCGTGAATGTTATGTTCTTCTAAAATTGAAACCAAGTAACTTCTTTCTACACTGTCAAACCTGCTCAAAGAGTCGAGGGAAGCGCGCCTGAATTTGGTGCACAAACTCTTGACCTTTCTCCTGCAGCAAATATTCACACCTGAACCACAACCACACAAGTATTTACCATCACATTCGTCAGCACAACATTGGCAAGCCTCTTGATTGATTTCCGTTACCGTGGAAACCATTTCGCATGTTCCACCCAGGGATCGTCTCCCGACTCCCAGCAGCGCAAACCTCCGTCGCAGCAGAAGCACTTCACGTCGTCGTTGCGACCTCAGCACAAAAAAAAAAAAATTGCATTTTTATTTTTTTGAAGAAAGCATTTCTAATTTAATGGTCTTGTTCTTGGACAAAAAGAAAACATATTTGACAAGAAAAATGTATATTTTCTTCCGCCAAAAAAAAAAGGCAAAACTTTTTGAGAAAAAAAAACAAAGTGTAAAGTCTTGCGACGCTGTCGGGGCGATGTTTGCTTGCTCACCGACGTAGTAGAATCCCGCCTTGGCCAGCTGCTCAGGCCTGACAGGGATGCGCGTGGGCCAGTTGACAAAGGTGAGCAGCCGCTCGTCATTCTGCCGCATGGACGGGTTGGACACGTTGTTGAGAGCGGCGGACGGCAATTGCGAAGACGACGATGATGACGAGGAGGAGGGCGGCGCCCCCGTCAGCGACACATTGTCGGTCCGGTCACCCCGCACTAGGCGGCAGTTGGGGTAGTGGCGCTGGTGCTCTGACGATGCGCGGTCGCCCGGCTCCCAGTTGCTGAGCTGTCGGCGACACGTGGGTGCCACTTTATCACAATCAACTTGGATTTGGATTTATTTTTCAGGAAATATGCTTTCACGAAATGTACGTCTATTTTTACAAGAATGAGGGATTGCAACTTCTATTTGAAATCTCCCAGACCTGCCCACCGCAGCTGAAGCAGGCCACGTGGTCGCCCAGCCCCAGGAAGTAGAAGCCTGCTTTGGCCAACTCGGCGGGCGTGATGATGGACAGCGTCCATGCGTGGAACGAATCCAGGCGGTCCTGCTCGCGCCGCATGGCCGGGTTGTGACAGGCAGGCCGCTGGTGCGACATGTCCTCCACGCCGCGAGAGCTCAGAGGGCTGGAGGGCGGCGGCGGACCTGAGAATCCCATGTTCAGGTAGCCCGCTGGCTCCTCACCCGCACCTCCTGCTGGGTTCGAGGCGGCCGGGCCCGGAGCGGGGAGCTTGGAGGGGTGAGAAAAAAAATATATACATTTTGAAAATTCTGGAACGACAAGTTGAACAACATTTGAAAAAAACAAATTGTCTGGCATTCGGCGGGCAACTTACCGGTACGCCGGTGGCGACACGGAGCGGCGAGAAGGCCGAGTGCGAAGAGGAGAGCAGGTTGGGGGCGGATGGCAGGCTCTGCACGAAAGAGCAGGATGGCGACAGCTGACGGTGCTTCTCGGCGGGACAGTCGCCCGCCAGCCAGCCTTCGGCCGTCACGTTGCAGCGGAAGCACTGCACGCGGTCGCCGACGCCCGTGTAGAACCAGCCGGCGCGAGCCAGGCTGCGCTCGCTGACGCCCGATGCCGGGAAGCGGGCAAAGGTGGAGATGCGGAACAGTTCTGTGGGATGGAACGCACGTTAAGACCTCAAACACAAGGGTGTACATTTGTTTTTCCTCTTACACAATGAGGGCTACCTGAGGAGTTATCATACTGCAGGTCAGGCGGGGGTCCGCTGCGACAGAGGCCCAACAGAAACGGATTGTTCTTGAGTTGAGGGAGAGTGTCCATGTTTTCGGGTGATGAAGATGAGCAAGGAAAGTGGAGTTGCCCCTCGTGAGGGGGAGATGTTTGAGATGTTTCACTCACTCTCACAAAGGAGAGCAGACAGCAAAAACGAAATGGAAGTGACAAAAGCCGTACCACCTATGCATCCTCAATGAGTGGTGGGAGGGAGGGAGGGAGGGGGGGGAATACCAAATCAGCCAGGATCCACATCAACGTTACGTATATTTGGCACGCACATGTTGAACTCAAACAATACAGCGTTGCCTCAACTTATTTTTTTCTTTTGATACAGCAGCTAGGGTTGCGGCGAACTTCAAAAAAAAATCAATTTGACAGACAATTTTTCACCCACCAAAAAAAGAGGCTTCAAGCTCTTTATTTCCACTCCTAGTCGAAATTTACTCGAAAACTAAACAAAGTAAAGCCACATTAGCTGCTGTATGTCTTAAAAAACTCCTGTTGCTCGGCGCTAACACACGATGCTAAACGAAATAAAGAGGAACGAGAATCAACGTGCCGAGGGCAATGAAAAGTCAAGGCACCACTGCAGGAGACCCAATAAAAATTCACATATACAGATAGACGAGAAACATCTCAAACCTCTCCATCTCCTTCAGGGCATCTCCTTTGCGGGGTCTAGCCCTCCATGATGAGAGGGAAAACCCCCAGTTGTAAATTAAAAAGAATAATAAATGTAACGGGAGCAACTCCTGGTCTTTTGCTCTAAACAGCACCTGAGGGAACACAAGGAGCACACAATAGAATGTCAGTATTGAAACAGCATGAGTTCTGTGCACCAACACTTAACGTTTATATCAACCGTAAAAATAATTTGTTAAATCATCCTTAGTCAGTTTACCTTAAAAACAGTGCTCACTGCACAGTTGCTAATTCGTCAATATTAAATAAAAGTCAAACACTCACGTTCACGAACGACAAAATGGCCTGCTAATGCTACTCGCTCCCGTCAGCTCACTGGGATTATTGCGGGGAGTACAACAAACACCTAAACCTCGTTATGTTCGTCAGACAGTAAAAAAGACGAAACAGAAAAAAAGAAGAAAATTTCGAGCGAAAAGAACCCTCCCACGTTAGGTCGGCACACTCACCGCGGGGCAATTGTATGAGTCAGGGGGGCGGAAAGTCCCGTCTCGGACAGTTAGTCGCTAGCTGCTAACTAACCAGCGGACCCACTTCCGGGTTCAAGCGAAACGAAACCATCGGTCAGATTGTATTCCAAATACTTTAAACACCACGCTACACGACGAGCGCCGATTAAAGTCACGCTCCTACTGTAAAAATGTATTATTGACGTGAAAACACACGAAATGTGTGGGTTATCTGCATAAGTGTGTCGCAGGATATAGCTGTTAGCCTGTAGTAATATCTGTAAATATACATATGATTACATACTTACAGGAAAAGAGGTTGGTGTGTCTCTTATGTGTCACTTGGAGCGTGGCTGATTTACTTGTTCATGTAAACCAACGACGACTAGTCATGACGTGTCAATAAAAAATGTGAATGCTGCGTGTCATTAAGACTATTTTCTCCGTTGTTATTATTAAGCAAGATTCAGTTCCACGTTTTCCATATTGGGGGTAGCCCATAATTGCACTTGGAACTTCATGATTCGTAAGAGAGTCAACTCATTTCACAATTGAGAGTTGGGCACATGCTGAACACTTGCTCTAAAAAAAGAGGCTTCAAGCTGTTTACTGCCACTCCCAGTTGAAATTTACTGTCCAACTTGAACACGAAACAAAGAGAATGACATGTCGTGCATTTAAAACCACAACACTTTGCTTTAAAAAAAAAAAAAGTCCACTTACCTTAATGCAAACAATGCAAAACACCATATACTGCCCCCAGATGGCCAAAGCAGGCACATCAGAAGGAGCAGCACAACGTCCACTGAATGGAAGCAAAAAATGTGGCAAATACAATTTAAATTCTTTGAAATTCTTTTGATTTGGAAACAGATTACAAACATTTTTTGGGGTTCAGATTTGTTACAAGCCTACACTTTAGGGGTTCGTAGTATCTTAAAATGGTGAGTACTGTACTCTTACTTTAGTTTGTCTTTACACTTCCGTTACAGCGAGTGATGTAAATAGTAGGTATCTTAAAAATGGCACACACATACACAATCTACTTCCATGGTTTGCATTTATTTAACGTTTATTATGGAGTTCAAACAATTAGTGAGAATAAAATGGATAGATGAACCGCATGCATAAAAAGGTACACAACTCTGTAAATAGATAATAAAGCTCATTATGTTACATATATATTCGTATACCATAAGGGGAGTGTCATGCATCATCCTAAGACAAATAAGCTAACGTTGCACTGAAGGGGTATGAATGATACGCGTAGAATCTTATTAAAAGCACACCGCAACTTCTACAATTAGTATGTTGCTCCATTAAGCGGCCTTGAAAAAAATAAAAATAAAATAAAAAGTCTTCATTTGCTGTTTATTGCCAAGGTAAAGGATTGTAGTACTGTATACCTTCAGGAGTAACAACAGCTTTAAAATGGCCGCCTCCGACAACACCACACGAGAAGGCTAAACCAGAATATTCGGAACAGCTGGCAGTACTCTACTCAGTGCATTCATTTCCTCGGCCATTCCTAAAATTTGGACCCTCTGGCATGGCTCAAGAGGGCGAAGGAAAGATTAGGAATGGCCCTCAGTACGAGAAACCACAACAACACATTTCCGTCAAATGCATACGATTACTTCACAAGGTAAGAGATTAAACACCTTCCCTTCATTTGGAGATTGTGCATCATATTAGGCACTCTCTGTTTAATTTGTGCAAGGTGGTGTGAGGAGCCACTGCAATAAGTATAAGACAAATAGCTAGCACACACACGCAAGTGGTGGATATATTTTTTTTTAACTTTCTTCCTAGGCGTTTTGTTTATTTCTGTTATGTGAGGTGGCATCTATGGATAACTGACAAGCGGTGCAATCAGATCAATTAGAAAGTCGCTGTGGGTACATCGTGCCTGTGCATGTCATTCAATTTTTTGTGTGTGTTTTTTTTTTTTTTTGTGGATTATTGTAAGTGTTCTGTTTATTTCTGTTGTGTACTGTGGCAGGTATCAATCATAATTAACTTGTGAAAGGAGCCAGAATATACAAATGACACGTACATTTGGGGCTCCTGCGTTCTGTGGCCTTTTGTGGGGGGGGGGGATTATTTACAGTCATTCTATTCATTTCTATTCTGCATGGTGACCGTTATTTGTCAGAGGAGACATCCCACGACTTGTACATTGGAACCCCAACGTGCCCCAAGTGTTGCTTCAGCACGGTTCAAAAGGCCTACTGATGAGCGTCCTGACCATGTGGATTCTTCCGAAAACCTCCCCAAGAGAATGAATTCCAGCATCCGACCACCTGAGGTGAGATTATTTCAAGGGCACCAGGGAAGGTAGCGCTGGGCGTTCGTCACGTGTGGGCAAATTGAAGTCTTTCTCGTGTTAGTGTCAACAATCCACACAAAGTGTTCTTGGAAGAAGACACAAAATGGCGTCTTTATAGCCAGGTGAGCAGGCTGTCCCTGTCCATGTGTGAGCCGGACAGAACCGTCTCCATGTCCATCAGGAGGTCTGAACTCAGACCCTCCGGGATGCAGGGCATCAGCTCCTCGCTCTCGCTCATGGCAGGCATCGAGTCTTGTAAAGTCGACGACTCGCCGCACTCACCTACGACGGAAAGTTGTTTTTTTTTAATGACCAAGTGATGTTAGCATTTTAGCGAAGTGATTTTAGCACGATCTTTCATGCTTATCAACCCGTCTCAGCGCTTTTTCTACTCAAGTTACCGGAATATTGTTAGCATACCAACAGTCTTATGCTACATGTTAGCATTTCAGCATTTGGGAAGAGGCGTTACCAGTGTCCATGTGATCCGCAGAGGCGAGCGCCAGGTCGGACGAGCGCGGCAGGCTGCTGACGCT